TCCTTTCCTTCTCTATTTACTGTCTTTCCTTCTCCTTCCCTTTCCCTTCTTCCTTTCCTCTCTTCCTCCTTTCCTTCCCTTCTCCTCTATTTACTTCCTTTCCGCTTATTTTTCCTTTCCTTTCCCTTCTTCTTTCCTTCCTCCTTTCCTTTCCTCTCCTCTCTCCTTCCCTACCCTCCCTTTCCATCCTTCCCTTTCCCTTCCCTTTCTCTCCTTCCACCCCTACCGTTTTTCTTCTTCTTTCCTCCCTCCCTGACGTTCTTTCCATCCTCCACCCTTCTCTCCTCCTCTCTCCTTGCCTCTTTCCTTCATGGCTCTCTCTTTCTTTTTTCTTCTCTCTGTTCTTCCTCTCTCTTGCACACCTGCTCATCCCACCCTCACCGTTTCTCAGAGACAAACACACACATGTACACAAACACACCAACCGATTCCCTTTCTTCTTTCAAAGGCAGAAGCTTCAAGAAACAGTGGAAAAATTGTGCCCAGGCTGGCAGCTGGGACGAAAACAGACCCACCTCCACCTCCCTCACCTGAATGACCCTAACCTTAAACTCGGTGGGAAAACACACATCCCCACCCAGGCACACACACAAACACACAAAATAGTCTTTGTTTTCCAAGCCTTGGCCCCTCCACCGTCCGTCCGTCAAACCGCCAGCAAGAACGAAAACTCGAGCCGTCTCACCTGGCCGCTCGCAGGGCAAAGGGGAGGCCATGAAGCCGGCCGCGGATGCCAGGAGGTGGGCGATCAAGGTGGCACCAACCAGCCCCATGATGCCAAGGCGATGCCCCGCGGCCCCAGGGCTCCTGCCAGCGCCTGCCAGCCCTCGGTCAGCCTTTGCCGGTTGCAGAGAAACATTTGAGGAACTGCCAAGCGGAGGCTGTTGAAGTTAGCCCGAGTGTCCCTTTCGGGGAGGGTTGTGAAAGCAGGTGGGGAGGTTGAGCAATGGGGTGGAGCTGGAAAGGGGAGGGGAGAGGGGTGTGTGTGTGGGGCAGGAGGGGGAGGGCAGAGCGTGGGTGTGGGGGGGGGGAAATACGCCAGCCTTGTGCCGAAAGAAAATTATGATTATTATTTTTTCCTCCCCCCGTTTCCCAGCTCTTTCTGTTTCAAAATAAGTCGTTTTCAAAGGGCCCCGAGCATTTTTCCAAAAACATCTTGCCAGGGAAGTCCTCGGCTTACGACCCACAGCCGAGCCCCCGTTGCTAAGCGAAACACTTGAGGGAGTTTTGCCTCCCTTGTTTGCCACCCCGTTTAAGGGAGTCGCCGCGGTGAAGTGAGCGAAGCTGGTTTGTGAATCTGGCTTTTCCCCTCCCCGCCGTTAAGAAGGACGCAAAAGGGAATCGCGTGAGCGATGGTCATCCATACGAGCCATTGGCCCGTTTTGAGCACGGGACCAAACGTGCAGGTGCTGGCCAAGGTCGTCGTCGGGGTGAAAAAGCGCCCCCCCCTCCCCCTTCCCCCCCCCCCCCAGGGCCGTTGTAACTTCAAACGGTCACTAAATGGAACTTGGAAACCTTGACGTGGTCGTTAAGTCGAGGACCGCCGGTAGATGGCTCCGGAGGGGGAGCTGGGACGATGTCGGCAAACAGCCCCACACGCCACCAAGGAAGAGGTTGCAGGTGCGTTGTTTTGGGGGAAGCAAAGCCTTTTAGGTCTCTCGAATGAGCGAGCCAAGCTGGGTGGGGTGGGGCTTTCCCACAGCCTGGCCACACCCACATGTCTCTTCACTGTTTTCCAGAGTGATAAGATGCGTTATAGGATTTTCCAAAAAAAAGGTACCCCCGATCTGACTTTGGACAAGTACCTGAGGTTATCCCCTTCCCAGTTCTACTCCGATAGCGTCTTAAGAAAAGGCAACTTAAGTTTCTAGACCTCATGGTGGCAATAGGGAAAACATCAAATGTATTAAAAACTATCTCTCTCTCCATTGCTGCAAATTCCTTCTTTAAAAATTAAGGAGTAGGAATTGAGAGGGAAATACTCATTGTTGGCCCTCCTCCCACACACACAGAAACATACTGAACAGGTAAGTCCTTGACTTACGACCACAATAGGGTTTGGATTTTTTTTTTCTTCGTTAAGTAGGCGTGCTTTTGACGTCCAAGCATCATCTGCCCGGATGTGGTTTTTTTTTTAAAAAAAAAAAAAACCACTTTTTACCACGGTCGTTAAGCAAGTCGCAGGTCATTAAGTGAATCCCATGCCAATTCAGCAAAATTCGGGTTTCCTCGACCGATTTCGCTTGTCGGAAGTCTCAAATTGCGATGTGTAACCACAGGGGTGGTGTGTGGCAGTCATGATTGCAAGAACAGGTCATAAATCCCCTTTTTTCCGTCACTTCGAACCATTGAGAAACAAACGGCCGTAAGTTGAGGACTACCTCTGCCCCACACAGCCCCATCCAACAAGATCCCTTAGGAGATCTGCCTTAATAAAGGCATGACACTAGGGGGGGGAAAAAACCACATTATTATTATTTTTACATAAAAGGCAATTTCTCTTTATAGTCATAAAACAATAACAATTCTGCCCAGTATAGAAATGTAAAATAAATTATACTGAATGTTCCTTAATCTCTGCATGGCACGGGGGCAGTTTCACCCCCCCACCCTCTTCTGCCCCAAAACGGAGAGGCTGTGCCCAAATTGGATTTATCCCGCACCTCTCCCACGCGGACAAAACATGTCCTCTTTGGTATCGAAGTTGAGACAACCGAGCAACGTCGTGGCATGGCCCATCTCAGATTGGTTCAATCTCGTCAGTGGTGTAAATTTTGCAAGTGGAGCAACGGAAGAGCTCGGACAATCCCGAACTTGCCCAGTTTCCTCCTCCTCCCAATGATCTCTTGGGACTGTCGCTTTTTTAACCAGCTTAGTCACTGTTCAAGGTGTACCAATTAAAACGTGGATGCGCTGGGAACTCTCTGTCGGTACCGGTTGGTTGACGCGCTCCGATTACCCCTCTGTTTTCGGGGATGTGGAAAACTTGTCCCACGGTATTTGGCTACGGAGAAGATGTCTTACTTCAAGGCAACAGGGTAGATTTGCAAAGGGTTTCCCCCCAAAAAATAGATCTCAGTGGGGCCCCCCCTCCCAATTCTGCATTTGGACGAAGAAAACCACTGTGGAGGTTCTGCAGAATCGGTTATCCTTTGTCTCGTAACGGTCGTGCTCGTTTCTGGATGAATTGTCTACCCCAACAGGATAGCATGGCTTAAGGGATCTGGCGAGAGCCTGCTCCATCGATCTGCAGTTAAGGATGTAGCAGGATATCTTCACGGGTCTCGGCAGACCGAGACGGATCCCAAGAAGGTGAACTGTTTCTTCGGAAGGAAGTGGAAGCTGTACAGATCTCGACAAGTTTGGCCGCAGGAAGAAATGAGGCGTTTTTTTGCAACCGGCACTCTTTCGCAATGTTACTCTTGGTTTACTCTGGCCTGATTTGGTGGTCCCTGTTTTCCACGAGTTCATGGGACACGGGAAGCGAGGGCCAAGAAGGACAAGGAAGAAACTCTTTGCAATCAAAAAGTCCGACACGATAATACAAAAATAAAATCTCTTTACTTTCTCCCCTCGTACGGGAGATCCAAAGCCTCCGAGGGATGCCCGGGCAGACGTGGTGCAAATCCTGAACTCTCCTTGGAAGATTTTTGGGGTGGAGCACCCCTCTTGTATGTCTGAAAGCACTCGGTCCTCTTGTCTTTAAACCGAAAAGAGCCGCGTTTCCATGTGCCAAGATTTGGACGTCGCCGCAGAGCGACTCCTTTCTTCAACCTGAGTATTGGATGCCAAATGCTTTTATAGTAAGGCGGGCCTCGTTGGCTGCTTCTGGGAGTTGGCAACCCTCAGTGTTTCACCCGGTGTCTTTCAAATGCCAGCTGGACATCCAGACGAGGAGTAGGAAAATCCTTGCTCTTTTGTAAACGAGAGGCAATTGTGAGATTATTTTCTCTCTCCCATGCTCTCTCCCGGGGTTAAAAAAAATGGCAAACTCAAAGCACAAGGCTACAGGGTTGTAGTAGGAGGGCTCCTACATCTCCCCCAGTCCTAACCTCCATCTTACACCCCCAATTTTCTTGATTTGTAATACTTTGGAGAAATGATGTCACGTTACCTGAACGAGGAGTTATCCCTGGGCTCAAAAATAGAGCGCAAAACCCTTGAAGGGCTTTCTGTCCAAGTAGAGGAACACTTAAATGTCCCACCTTCGCTGACCAGCTAGAGCGAGCTACCTCAAATACACCGGCAGCTTGAATTTGGGGGGGTGGGGGGTGCTACGTGGTTTGGTTACATGGTGATAGCTTTAGACTTCAAGCCACGGTTCTGAGTTCTCGGCCATGGCTACGAAGACCGATATGCTCCCGTTTAGTGAGCCCCCATTCTCACGGCGGATCGAGATCTTTAACACACAGGTCCATCCATCGTCTATGATGCTCCCCTGGTGTTGTGTCATACTTTCACCGCCTTATCGGGCACGCTGGGCTCGCTGCCGCCGCCGCTGTTTTTCTTCTTCCGTAGCGTCTCGATCCAGCTGGTGCTGGGGCGGCCGCTGAAGCTGGAAAGGGCCAGCGAGCTGAGCCGCATGTTCTTGCCGGAAGTGATGAGCTCCCCAAAACCTTCCTGGTGGGAGAAGGCGTAGCCAGAGCGTCGGGAGCCTGCGCGCCCCACCCGGCCCATGCAACGGTGTTGGGTTTTCTGCTTCTTGCGAACCAACTGAGTGTAACGCACCTGCCGAAGAAAGCGGAGTGAAGAGACGTCAACGCGAGAGGCTAATCGGCTCCTCGCCAAAAACTTCCCACTTTTGCTCCTTCTGAATCGTGCCAGCACTCCTAATCCCTAACCCCAGCCCCAGACCTAACTCTAACCCCAAACCCAACCTTAATCCCAGCCCTAACCCCCACTCTAACCCTAACCCCATCGCTAACTCTAACCTCAACCCTAATTCTTATTCTAACTCTAATTCTAATCCCAACCCCAACCATAACTCTAACCTCAACCCTAACTCTTATTCTAACTCTAACTCTAACCCCAACCGTAACTCTAACTCTAACCCCACCCCCTACGCCAACTCTAACCTTAACCCTAACCCCAACCCCAACCCTAACTCTAACCCCAAACCCAACCTTAATCCCAGTCCTAACCCTCACTCTAACCCTAACCCTAACCCCACCCCTAACTCTAACCTCAACCCTAACTCTTATTCTAACTTTAACCCTAACCCCTCCACCCCAACTCTAACCTTAACTCTAACCACAACCCTAACTCTAACCCCAAGCCAACCTTAATCCAGCCCTAACCCCCACTCTAACCCTAACTCCACTGATAACTCTCACTTCAACCCTAACTCTTATTCTAACTATAACTCTAACCCCAACCGTAACTTTAACTCTAACCCCACCTACGCCAACTCTAACCTTAACCCTAACCCCAACCCTAACTCTAACCCCAAACCCAACCTTAATCCCAGTCCTAACCCTCACTCTAACCCTAACCCCACCCCTAACTCTAACCTCACCCCTAACTCTTATTCTAACTTTAACCCTAACCCCACCCCCTATCCCAACTCTACCTTAACCTTAACCCTAACCCCAACTCTAACTCTAACCCCAAATCT